CACAATTGAAAAGCACATGATTACCACGAAGTTAGTAAACTGTTTGTTGATTAGTCAAGCCAGTTAAAAAGGACATCGGAAACTTTGGATTTGCAAAATAGAAGCATCTATATCATACATCATTGCTACCAGTATGATTTTTTAGAAAGAATATTGTTATTATTTTTTTGACTTCACACTAATGATCTTATACGTATTTCCAGACGGGTAAATTTGATCATTAGTGCAGTATTAGTAGGCGGGTATTCTGGATGGCAAGCTGATATTTACCATATTTTTGACACGTGTCGTTAATTGCCGTAGTCGCTGGCTTATCTGCTCATAATTATATGCGTATACCAAAACGGAAGAGAGTATCATAACACATCGTGAATCGGGTCTGAAAATTATCCTCAGATTACATCAGGGTTGTGAGATCAATGAACGCGGGGGCGAGATTTTTTTACACTTCTACTGACTTGGGATCAAAATACAGTATCCTTTTTTCAAACCCCTTCAATCGCATGCAATTGTTAACGCTACGTGCCTTTTTATCGACAAAGTTCCCGCCACACACCGCGCTAGCAGTGGTGTACTCTCTTCCGTTTCAGTACCAGACTATAATCTTAGCATCCAAAATCTGCTAATTGGTTTATCTATATTCGCACACGTACAAAATTCTAGCGCAGTAGTATTGGATCCTTCCTGTAAAAAATCTCAACTTAACCAATTGAATGTGACCAGAAGAAGAATTGGTAATTCAGTATTTACGCTCCCCACAAACTGTCGGCTACGGCGGGTCGTGCGCACCGCCGTTTTCAGCATCAAGCTGTGATAAATCAACACGTGCTCCGTGCAAGTTCGGACTTATCGGTTCTTTCCATTATTGAATTTATGATAGTCCCGAAAGGTCAGATACCTAGCAGACCAAATCAGGGCAGCTCATAGCAAAGCAACATCATATCATTAACTGGTATAGATGCCAGTATACAGGGTGTCCAACAAGTACCACGACAACCTTAAGGGGAAGGTAGGCTCTAGACTGACCTCCCAAGTGACCAAAACTTACATATATAAAAGTGCGTTTTTGAGATATTGAATTTTTTCTCAAATTTAAAAAAAACGAACCTTTTCATCTGTGGTATTTAGCTGCATGTACAAATACGATTATACATTGTTAATTTCTTCTATGAAATACTTCTAGATAGTTGCTTTATCATATACAAATGCAATGTAGTTAAAAGATATTAAGGAACCATGGTCCAATAAGGACTATTTTGGTATTTGTAACCTTCTGATATTTTTTTCCCAGCTTTGAACTCTAAATTTAAGTTGCACTGGTTACCGATCAGTGACATGCTAAATAGTATAACGCTATATTATTATTACCTGCTCCTGATATGATTTTATGTTGAGGAAAAAATATATATGGTTATAAATCCCAAAACAGTCCTTATTTTATCATGGTTCCTTAATATCTTTTGATGACATTGCATTTGTACATGATAAAGCATCTATCTAGAAGTATTTTATAGAAAAAATGAACAAAGTATAACCTTGTTGTACATGCAGCTAAAGACCACAGATGAAAAGGTCCGTTTTTTGATATTTAAAAAAGAATCAATATCTCAAAAACGGTGACACTTTTATATAGGTAAGTTTTTGTTATTTGTTAGGTCAGTCCAAAGCCTACTTTCTCCGTAAGTTTTTCGTGGTACTTATTGGACACCCTGTATAGCTTCTGATAGTCAGAAATTGCTTGTTGCTACCGGCGGGAGTAAAGTAATTTGTAGAATGCATGAGGCACAAAAAATCAACAATACTATATAATGCATATTTAGATGTGCTCAGTAAGTAATCCTATCGTAATTCGGATTGAATTGTGTCAATCTTATATATAAACATTTTCACAAAAACACCCGGTGCTATATTTCAATAGTCTGATAGCTTATTTGGGTAGTCGCACGCGACACTCTCCACGGAAAATTACGGTGTTTTTAATGAAACCATCAATTTATTTGTTTATAGCCTTACAAGTTTGCGAAACGACGAAATTTGTTTCAAGAATCATATGAGAACTGAATCGGAAAAAACGGAACCAAGTAGGTTGCCTCAGTATTACCCACATCTTAGTATCTACATTTATATATACACTCTTCCCGTAAATTACCTCTTTACACTCTAATTGATCAAATGCATCTCACTAGCTACACAGAAATTCAAAGCGTCGTTAGAATTTTCGACCAACCTATCTTTCTACTATGCCACGATATAAACAGAAAGTAGAAAAACGTCGAATAACACCTTTTCGCATTTGTTATGTATTGAGTATCATGAACTTCTGTATGTCAAATAATAATCAGCAACTCCGAAAACATTCAAAATATTGAGTTTTTTGACACTCCCGGATTTTTCCCGTTTATTTGTACCTGTGCTGTTATTGGTGAAAGCATTTGAGGTGTTATGTCACTGACACTTATCAGCGGAATCTCCTGAGACACCGCATTGCACACCAGCAGAGCTCCAAGGTCATATTAAAGACATCAAGGTACGTAAAGCACCTGGAGAGGATCGAATCACTAATAAGGCGCTGAAGGTACTTTCGCGGAAGTCCTTAACTTATCTGGTGGTAATAATCAATGTCATGCTAAGGTCCCAGCACTTCCCAACGGCGTGGAAGACCGCTGATGTCATAATGATTCCAAACAAGATGGGTACGATATTCCCCCAGGATTACCGCCCCATTAGTCTACTGTCAGCTCCTTCTAAGCTCGCTGAAAAGGTGATTCTACGTCACCTTGAAAATTTCTCGGCAGACCACAATGCGATTCCTGACGTGCAATTTGGCTTTCGGTCTGAGCATAGTACGGAGCTACAGGCCATAAGGCTTGTTGAACGAGTAACCAGGGGGTTCACCCGTAACGAAAGTACTGGCATCTTGCTACTGGATGTCTCAAAGGCATTTGACAAGGGGTGGCACAAGGGCCTTCTCTACAAATTGATCCATAAGGGCTTCCCCTTCTGGCTCCCAAAACTTTTGAAATCCTTTCTCGAGGGTAGGAAATTTCGGATCAAAATTAATAGCGTTCTGTCGACAACACGACCCATCAAAGCCGGTGTCCCTCAGGGTTCGGTTCTTGGACCAGTCCTTTATTCACTTTTTATTCATAACGTCCCTTGCCCCAGCAGCTGTGAAACCTATCTCTATGCTGATGACACTGCCCTGGTGGCCCAGTCGTGCTCTGGGGATCTAGTTCACGACAGACTGCAAAGTGCAGTGGATGAGGTATTGGAATGGGCGAATTGGTGGCTGATCAAAGTTAATCATTCGAAAACGCACGCAATCTTTTGTACTAAAAAACGTAGCGGCGCCCCGTCTGAGGTTTCAGTGAATGGAGCTCGGGTACCATGAGAAAGCTCTGCTAAGTATCTCGGTGTCACTCTTGACAAGGGGCTAACCTGGCAGAAGCACACTGAAGCGTTAAAAACTAAATTCCAAATCTCGTTTCGGCAACTCTACCCTATGCCATGTAGAATATCAAAATTAAATTTGATCAACAAAATTTGGCTATACAAGATGGTTATTAGACCAGCGATCACTTACGCAAGTGCGGCTTGGTGTTTTCTCGCCAAAAGGCATTTGCGTAGCCTGCAGGTTTTGCAGAATAAAACCTTGGGTATAATCACTAACCCCCCATGGTATGTTTCCAACGAGACCCTTCACAGAGACCTTGACATCCCTTTCCTAAGGGACTACATCAAACAACAAGCGCAGCTACGTTACAGTCAAGCAGAATCGCATAACAACCCTTTGTTACGCGAGTCAGTAGACTACACAGTCGAGCAAGTTCGCAAGCATACAAGGCCGCGACCCGCACTGTGAACAAAATTAAATCGTCCGACTTTCAACAATCCCAAAATTAATTTTAGGGTAAATTTAAAATTGCCGAATACTAACTAGCAATGCCAAGGCACCCCTCAAATGGATGCACTTCTTTTTTCTTTGCTCTCCTTCCTTCCTTTATTCTTCCCTTCTTTCTCCCTGACTTTGTTTGGTATCTGGGCAACCAGACCTGACAGACCTACTGACTTACAAGACTTCAACCAAGAGCAAAGGTCCTACGGACCGCTCTGATAGACAATGATGAATAGTAGTCACTGACAGCAGTCACATTGGCGTCAAAATTTTATTAGAAATTGAGCAGTAAGCTCCGAACTATAGGAATAGAGGACTTCGTAGTTTTTCTGCTGGTCACTCTTAAGGCACTTGTTCGGACTCAAAGCAGCCATCCACTTAGAGAACCTGTTTGATTCGTAACGTATAATTAAGCCCTTCAAGGGTGAATAATACACATGTCAACGCATCTAACAGCGCTAAAAACACAGTGCGATCTTTACCGGTCTGTTGCTACTTCTGGCTGCTGTGCATACACGTTAAATCCACTCGTCTTACAAATATTAGGGATTCTTCTCGCCATATACTGTGCTTATAACGTTGATAACTTTTAGTTCTAATAAAGCAGGGTTTTTGCTTCTCATTCCATCTCATACAAGTGGAGCTGGCCAGCACGACTATTCCTTCGCTCGTCGCAAAGACCATGGAGGTGTATATCATACGCAGCAATCGATAGTCAATCCGCTTGATGCTATTTTCGGGAACCATCATCATTAGAGGTAGATTCGAAAAGTTGTATATCTCCTCAAGGCACGCGCAAATATTCATCGAAATTTGAATATTCAAACACTCGACAATTCGTATTCGTCAGTTCCCCATCTCAGTGTATTTGTGTCAGCCTATCAGCAGGCGACTGGACACTACGTTCGTTTATTTCGTCTAGACGCTCTCGTCTACATCAGTAGTCGACGTAGAGCGCGAAAATTCAGTGTACTATATTTATCGCGACCATAACCTCACTTTACTCCGTCGTTTTTCGGTGATATGTCCCCAAGGTGTCACAGTTGTGCCCAAGAGAGCCTGCATCTGTAAACAAGATAACCGAATTGCTCCAAAATTGATCTGGACGCAGATATGGGGTTATTTGAAGGTATCGACTGCTGCTTAGCTTATCTCAACTGTTATCTTTTTATTTTATTTTTCTACGCTTGATTGCACAAGGTTGCAGCAACAATCATTCGCCAGTTTGTGATGCTGTTAGTAACTGATGCGATGAACTTTGGTTTGACAGAAATCAACCGTAAGTAGAGCGGCTGACATTATGTATTTAATTATGTAAAGTAAATATTTTGTAGATAAATTTAGATCTGAAAGTTCTGTATATAGAACTAGTCACCTACGTAGATGAATGGAAAACGGTTTGATCGCATAAGCTGCAGTAGCATTTGCCATTGATTGCTCAACGTTCTGACGTGTATAGTGCAACACTTTTCTGCATTTTTTCTGCCATTATGTATTTATATTAATGTAAGGTCAATATTGAAACCAGTTCCAGAGAATTCCTGTTATAGTTGCGTAAAGTTTCCAAAACGGACTAGCTACATTAGCTAGCCCATGAAAGTTTTACGATGAACTTAACATGATTTTTCAAGACCTTCAGGTTGGATCTATTGAGTTGGCCCAAGTATCTACCCTGCGATAGAGAACACAGATTGGGAGAATAAAAATCCCATTGGTCGTTGATCGATAGAGTCGGAAACTCCACCGTACTCGGAAGATTAAATGTGAAAAAGGAAGTACTTCGACTTATTGCCGATGGAGAGAAATAGACGGTGTAACACCTGATCCTGCAGTGTAAAATGTGAGGTAAGCGAAGTAGTGGAATCCCAGAAAATGGTAGATACTATTGCAGTTCTACACAACTGTTTCGTGCAGCAGTGTTAAAGAATAAGAGATAGACATCTTACGTAGCGTAGATGGTACGTACAGAAGAAGAAGAAGAGAAAACAAAGATTCTTAAATCGCAATAATCGACTGTTCAATAATGGTTATATTTGGGAGTCACCATAAAAGCATATACTGCATCAAGGCTTACGGGAGGAAGTGATAAACTACCTTCAGATCATCGATATTATACATTCAGTTATCTCCGCAGCTACTTTGATCATACAGAGAATGAGAGGATATAACCCAGTCATAAATACTAATTATCACTCTGAATGAGCTCTCAATGATGCTTCTCCAATGATGTTTTTCGGCAGACTATGCACAAGAAGACATAATATGTGCTGCTTGACATCTGATGCGCCGCATCATCCAGAGCGCAGCTTATTTAGAAAGGCCCCGCCTGTAATGGTGTAGGTACACTGGGCACTATCGCAAAGGCTGAAGATTTTCATTTAGTTGATTTAAACGGAGATCCAAGATTCCGTCCAAACTGGGAGCAATATGCAATCGACATGTGTTGATTTGTAACGTGATTTAGGCATGCTACCGGAACCAGAAGCTTCTTTATAATAGAACACATTTCACTGATACCAAAGATGCAATGGATAGAATCTGCATAGCTTTTTCGCCCTTTATGTTTGCACACGCAACCCGGAAGTAGCGATCATTCAAAACATGGACATTCTATCATAGCATAACATGTCAGATACGGAAACGGCGACCTGGCAGCTGTAGCAAATAATGTAACATCTGAAACTTACTCTTCCTATCGATCCTTTCAGATCCAAAACAATGCAGTTGCAACGTTTTAGTCGAAGACTGCATAAAACAGGTGTGTTGCGTTCTGGGTGGATTTCTAGCGTTTTTGGAAAGATAGCATACTCGCTTGTCGTTTTGGAGGGCTGGTCGTAATTTTCTGGGAAAGGAGATACCTACCCCAGGTGGTCCTGGGCTATGCTGGTTTTGCGTTGTGCTATCTTGCGATTCAGAATGATGCCTTCCCGCAAACTCAGTATATTACGGGTCCCTCAGGCTGTTGGAGTAACACACTGTATAGGACTATGATAATTAAAAGAAAAAACAAGCAGACTTTCACCTGGGAGACAGATAAATCAAACATATGTCATTGTACTGAAGTTCAGCTTTGTAACAGTAACGTTTACTACATTCAAGAACATATTCTAATACATATTGTCTTTATTGGCCAGACATGTATTGTAGCATATTACTTGAAAATTGCATTTTTGATCCATAATCACAGTTTGATTATGCATGATACGCCAGAAAGCAGTATCTTTAACAAAGTCGTCAACTTACGACATTCAAAGAGCATGGCTGAAGGAGTTACGAAGGAAGAAGTGTTCATTATTATCGTATTATTGCTAGTAATGCAAATTTTAATTTATAACCAACTGTGAGAATAAGACTGACGGATAGTCGCTTAAAATCTGGAATGACATAAAATTCCATAAGTAGTTCGATTTAGCGATATTTGACTAACTGCCTTCTTATCTTTATTGACGATGACAGAAGCAGTGATCGATTGTGTCTTGTATTATCGGAAATGTATGCAGATTCGTGAATAAAAGACAACCTGTAAACGGATATGGATTGTTGTGTATCAGATATTACATCGCATTATGTGTTACAAAACAAGATAATGATAACACCATTGGAGTAATGATGTTACAATTAATAATCATTCAAAAATATAGAATATTTTGTAGCCATTACTGCTGTTGATTTCCCAACTAAAGAAGATAAATATAATGCACTGGGCAAGCTAATGTTGTCTTTAGAGAAACTCAGCTGTTGGATACCTAAATACATATAGGTAGTAAATTAATATAGAATCAAAATGAAGAAGCCAGATCATGTCCATATTTAGTCCCGCCAGAAATGTTGATTGGTGAACATTTTAGCACCTAATATACTCGAATCTTAAAATAACAAATTCTTAATAGCTGATGGTATTTTTTTGCAAGAATATAAACAATGTAATAAAAATGCTTCTCGCTGCGTCAAACAGGGTAACTAATGTTTGCATAATTAGGCGTAATTTAATTTTCAGAATACTTGATCATTGAACATATATTGTCATCGCTGAAATAGGCATTAGCAGGTGTCGATAATTATGTATTACTTACTAGTTGGCATAAAAATGCACGTCCACTTTAACAAACCGCAACATTTTAAATGACAATGGAGTGCGCACCCAAGCACACTAGGATTATTATTGTCTATTTGCATATAAAATCTGAAGTCATCCTTCACTTCTATCATATCAAATACCACTACTACAACAGCTGTATGACAACTTGAAGATGGCGTTTTGCACCAAACTATATGCCACAGTGTAATACAAGCTGGAGTGAGCTGCTGAAAATCTTTATTTCATATAAACCGTTTAACAGTAGAAATCGTGGTGCCTTAGTCATATATTTAAATTATTATATGACAATGCACATTCGTGTTTCCATTATCTCGTTTGTCACAACACCTCCACAACGCCCCTCACTCTTCACTTCTCTTCTCCTTAGCCTTGCTTATTTCTACCTGACAACATCGACAAAAAAAACATTACAACTAGTTCGCATATAACGACTAAAAACAACGCTCCTTTCTGGATTGCCTGTATAACAATTGGCCAATATCGCAGCCTACTACTGACAATATGTCACGTTGATGTGGTGATTCACGAATTCCTATACCATTGCGTTGGATTGGTGATACTATTGACTATGAGTAGTTTTTGGGAGAACCAAAGAAAAACGTGCGAGTCTACAAGTAGTAGTCCGCAATAGGTGCATGTCTCACTTCTGGAAAATATTAATTTTGTATGGTCGAGCTATAAGCATTGAATGTCTATGTACCTTGCTGTCACGTGAATTAAATGTCCATTCAAAATTAGCAACAATGTTATTGTGGAATGTTACTAGGAATATGCAATTATCGACAAATTATGTTAGACAAATAACATGTATGACTTGCGATTGAGAAAAGAAAAAAAAATATACAGAAACGCAGGAGTAAAAGTCGGACTTTGAAACTATTTTTAATTATTATCTACTATTTGCAACGTGTGACAACCGTTATAGAAAGCAAATAAATAAATAAGGAAATTGTAAACCTGCAATTTGATATTCTGTGGGTTTGAAAAAGTGATTGCACTCTTGCCCTGTGGATGAACGGATGAAAATATCACGTAAGCACTTATACACTTATGATGTCGTGACGAAACTATTTCCAGAGATAAGAAACCACCAAATTGCACCCGGGGTCCTTAAACTTTTTGGTACATTCTAGGAATGCCTAGCTATTAGGTGTAATTGCCGGCGCAATGGTAAAAGAGAACAGAGGGTCGATGAAATAATTAAGCTTAAATGAACGAGAATCGTGTTCTAAGGTACAGTTGTTTCTGTAAGAATGAGAATGATTTAGTAAATTGAACATGTGATATAAAAGGAGTTCGTTAATCTTCATATCAATTTCTGAAGAGAAAAACAATTACCAGGGTCAATAGCAAATAACAGCATGCAATATTGTTTCAAGCAAATGAAAATAGAGACCCGTAATACGCGTTTTTTGTCCAGTTCCTATAGTATACTCAGCATTGCGTCATAAACACGCATACCTACAGGTACATACTGAATAGCAAAAGCATTAAATAAATCAATAATATGTATTTTGGATTTTTCTGATCAACACTCTCCAACTTAGTACACAAATGATTTTTTGCCATCAAAACCGAGATACAACGCTTAATTCCCCATGTACTGATTGATTTCCGGTCCAGCTTAGAAAATCTTGTACGGCATTCACCGTAGTTCCTAATTCGGATCAATTTCATATATCTTCTAGTTTCTCTCCTTTTTTCTCTCCACATCTGTTTCTGTTTCTATTTCTGTCGTTGCCTCCATTTTCCACCTTATATAACAATCGACTACAATGTTTTTATTGTTGTTACTACCAATGTTATCGTTGAAATACATGATGAGATAGCAGAACTAATATAACGTCTGGCAATATAAACAAAAACAGCCCACAATATTAAACTTTGATCGGGCATTCATGAGATTCCAAGAAATAGATGGATTGACATGCAATTATGTGAGCAGATAAGGATTTTTCTGCACGATCTACTCGAGTCTATCTTTCCAGTCGTTGTGTATGACGAACAAAGGCTAGTGTTTGTGAGTCAGCTTCAGTTTGTGATTTTGTGGTGCTATACAAGGGGAAAGTTAAGTGTATGCTGGATTAAAAGTGAGTAATTTAAATTATACAATGGCAGAATCTAAAAATGTAGCATCCAAGTACCTGATTGTTCTAGGTCTAGGTTATACTAAAGCTTCGAGACTCCATGATGCTGAGGACGGTATTTTTTATGAGCAAATTAAAGTCAAAATCTAATCATGCTATACTATTTTATATCCTAGATTTATGTATAATCACTTTTAACGTTCGCTGTATG